AATTATAATGAAAATAAGTAACTAATATATATATATTAGTTACTTAACAAAGATAATGAAAATAAGTAACTAATATTATAATGAAAATAAGTAACTAATATTATAATGAAAATAAGTAACTAATATAATTATAATGAAAATAAGTAACTAGCAAATATATACATATATATATATATATATATATATATAAGTAACAAAGATAATGAAAATAAGTAAGAAGGCTTCAAGTTTAGTAAATAATGAAAATAATTAACAAATATATATATATATATATATGTCATGTTAATCATAACATGGGGCTATAATTAACAATTATACATTAATTTTAATGAAAATAAGTAACAAATAAATAATACAAACAACATAATTATAATGTAACAAATAAGTAACAATAACATAATTATAATGTAACAAATAAGTAACAATAAATAATAAATTTTGTACGTAACAAATAAAGAATACAAACAATAAATAATAATATCTTGTTATCATATCCGAGTAATTTTCCCCACTTCGAATATTATTACTAGCTTGTGCCAAAGCGTCTCTCCACGTACTAAACGATTGGCTAAGTAATTTCCAACGACTGGACATCGATTCTTTGGTTCTTTTCCCACCAATTTTCTCAAGATAATTGGTATGAATAAGACTCCACATTTCTCGCAACTGCATCTCATTACCCGTAAGCGAACTATGAGTAACTTCAACCCAGCTAGTACACAACGCAACATCTTCAATAAGCGACCAATTCGTACCTGCACCAGTGGTCATTTTGTGGGAAAAAAATGGATTCAAACTTTGAGACAAAGAAAGGAATGTGATTGAAAGTAGTTGAGAAAATATGAAATTGTTGTGAAGGTAGATGATAATGAGAAGGTATTTATAGAAAAGTAAAAACAATTTTTTTTACAATTTTTTTCAGATTTTTCAGATATTTTTTTGAATTTTTTTGAATTTTTTACACTTTTTTTTTTAATTTTTATTCAATTAATTAATCTCTGCCGTTGGATATAAAAAAATTTGAATTCCAACGCTCCAGATTGTGCCACGTGTCACAACGGTAACTTTTCAGATTTTTTAAACTATTTTTTCATTTATTTTTTAATTTATAAAGCATTTTAATATCCACCGTTGATCTCAGATCGAACGGTGGATATTAAATCTGACAGTTTTATATTTTTTTACCGTTGAGATCTAACGGTCCACATTAAGTGACCGTTAGGATCTAACGTACCGTGGGAAGCCACGTGGCTTCCCAACGGTAACAGACAAAACTTTTTTTTTTTTCTGATTAAAGTGTCAGGACGCGCCCCCACGCGCGGGTGGGGTGCACGCGCCTGACACAAAAAAAATAAAATAATACGCTGACGCCACCCTGGCGTCAGCCTTGCGTCACTCCCACCTCGGGCTCAAGGGCTGGCAATCCCTCACGGGCCTGGCCCTCGGGCCTCCCCCGTCCCCCGGCCTGCGTCACGCTGGACGCCTTCCACCGGCCCTCGGGCCTTTGTTCTGGAGCCGGTCCCCCGAGCAATATGCTACGGTGGGAGTGCTCTTATCCAGCTACCTTTTGAGCCGGATTTGTTTATATCCTCCTTCTTTTTCATGTATTTTATTGTCATTTTCTTCTTGTATTAGAAAGAGTTAAAGTTTATATGTCCTATCCTACTAGCTAAGTTTATATGTCCTACTGGCTAGATATAACCTTTTTTTTTTTTAGGCTCCATCAATAAAATTTTGGGGTTTTTTTTATATGAATTCAAAGTAATTAAAAATTGGATTTATTTCAAAAATTAAAAATTACTAAAAATTTAACTTATTTCAAAAAATAGTCTATTAAATTGAATCTATTTCAAATTTTCTCTAAAATTCTTCTCATATCATCCAGGTTTTCTAAAATAAAATTATCCTAGTTCCCGAAAAGTACAGCAACATTACGATTAAATGGATCCATTTAAGCAATCACGACAAATAACGGCACGAAAAATTATGCAGAGGTACTTGCAGAAATGTTTGGTTGGGGCAGATTGTCTGCCCACTGTTTTGATGTCTTTCTATGCTCTCTTATTTTATAAGCTACGTTAATATTTTATATTAATTTTTTTAATAGATATAATAAGACAAAAAGTAATAGAAATATAAAATATTAACGTGACTTAATCGTAACCGTACAAATAAGAGGAAATGGAAAGGGCATCCAAGCAGGAGGGCAGACAATCTACCTCTGATGCTAATTATTTGTGAAGATAAGACAAGACAATCGCATCCACACGATTCAAATCAACCACATCACTGGCTTATTTTAGTTAGTGGGATTTTTAGTTTGGAAAGTGTTATTAGCACTTCAAAAATCTTATTCTACACAGTGTATTTTTCTAAATATAAAAAATTTAGAGTATAGAATAAGGAATTTTAAGTGTCAATAACAATTCCTTTTAGTTTTGGTTAAAATTGATTAGTCTATCATTAGCATTAAGTTTGCTCACTAGCTTTGTTAGGTCTTTTGTCAGAGTTGGTTGCGTGCAAATCCTTTTGGTTTTGGACCTGGATTGTCTGCTCTCCCATCCCATACTCTTTCTATCCCCTCTTATATTCTATGGTCACGGTTAAGCCAATCAATATTTTATATTGATTTTTTTATAGAAATAATAAGACAAAAAGTGATGGGAATATAAAATGTTGACGTGGCTTAACTGTAATCACAGAAATAGGAGATGATGAGAAGGGTATGGGATGGAGAGGGCAGATAATCCAGTTATTGTGCTCATCCTCGTGCAGTTCGAATCTTCTTTCTTTTTAAAAAAATAGAATAGTTTAAAATATTATTTGAGCTAAATATAACAGCCACAAAAACAAAAAAAAAAAAAAAAAAAAAAAAGTGAGAGAGGGCAAATAAAGTTGATTAAGTAAGCTTTATGATAATTAATTAGCCAAAACCAGCACCTAAATACTCATCATCAAGGTTTCGGATGACAATTAGATTGCGGCTCAGGTAAATGTCTAATTTTTTAGCGGCTGTTAGTTCTGATAAATTTAATGACGTTTCTTTTATCAATCATTATGCTCATTTTAAAGTTATCAATCTTTTCTTAGCGAACACAGAATTCGGTATGTGATAATATTGCTTGAACAACTTCACTTATCAATCTTTTCTGTCTCATACTCTATGCAATATTCTTCTCAGGTGAAGAAGGAAAGCAGATAAAGTTAATTGTCGGCCTTGCGGCGATCTGTTCTATCAGTATAGCTGCCTTGGTGTTCGGTTTGCACAGGTTGCAAGCAAAATCAGGAATCATCAAAGCAAGAAAGGAAATTAGATTGACTGATACACGTTATACATCAAGAGAAAGTCTTCAAGAATATATTAGAACACATGATCCATCAGAGCTATTAGTCTATGAATATGATTTCGATAGCATAGTAATTGCTACAAGCAATTTCAGCATCACAAACAAGCTCGGACAAGGAGGATTTTGCATAGTTTATATGGTGATTATTCATTTGCGTTTTCTTTAATTTCAAAAGAAAGTATATAGGTATACAGACAGGAATGTAATGTTAATTTTTCGACCTCGTATAGGGTAAGCTAGAAGAAGGGAAGGAAATAGCAATAAAAAGACCATCTAGCAGCTCGGGGCAAGGCATCGAAGAGTTCAAGAATGAGATGTTGATCTCCAAACTCCAACACAGGAACCTTGTAAGCTGATGGGCTGCTGCATAAAAGATGATGAGAAGTTAATAATTTACGAATTCATGCCAAACAAAAGCTTGGATACTCATTTATTTGGTTCGTTTCGCCGGCCTTTTATGTTTGCCTCCAGTTTCTCATTGTTACCCTTCTTTTTCACTATTGTTCATACAACTGTTCTGTATCTTCTGGAAAATGTTTTCACTGTAATGTGTGCAATAATTAGATCCTATGTGGAGAAAGGAGGTTGGTTGGGCTAGACGCTTCAATATTATTTAGGGTGTTGCTAGAGGGCTTCTTTATCTCCACCATGATTCCTGTTTGAAGGTAATACATTGGGATTTGAAGGCAAGTAATATTCTCTTGGACGGAAACATGAATCCCAAAATTTTCGATTTTGGGCTAGCACGTATCTTTGAAGGGACACAGAATTTAGCAAACACTCAGAAGGTTGTGGGAACTCTGTAAGCATTGATCATTTCACCCTTCTTTCTATTCTTAGAATTCAAGTGGATAATTGTTAGTTAAGTGCTAATAATTTTCTTGTGCAGTGATTATATGTCTCTAGAGTATGTCATGGGTAGGATAATCTCTGAAAAATCTAACGTGTATAGCTTTGGGGTCGTGGTATTGGAGATTATTAGCGGCTGGAAGAACACCAGCTTTCTATGACCATGAAAGAAAGCTATCCTTCATACCTTATGTATGTTCAAACTCTCAATCTTAATGTCACATTGTGATTTCATGATGAGTCTCTTTCATTTATGTAACATTATGAATGTTGTCAGGTATGGCACATCTGGAGTGAAGGCAAGGGATTGTACTTAGTAGATGAAGTATTGGATGGTTCGTGTTTTGCATTAGAAGTGATGAGATGCTTGCATATTGGGCTTCTTTGCGTGCAAGACGATGCTTCAGATAGGCCAACCATGCACGAGGTGGTTTTCATGCTAAGTGGCGAGACAGATCGTCCACAACCTAAGCGGCCTATATTCACTTTCGAAAACCCAGTTTCTGATCCTCGGCCGTGGTATGACAATACTTGCTCCGCCAATGAAGCCACCATAACATTGCTTGAAGGACGATAGGCGGAAGCTAAATGTCGATCATTGTGACAGTCCGTGTCAAAATTTCCGGAACGAAATGACATTTTTGAAATTTCATTAAGTTTTGGGTTTTTATTTTAAAATTTGTTTTATGGGATTGGTTGGTGAGCCACGTGGGGCCCACCCTGGAACTTTTGTCCCTCGGCCCCTCGCCTCTCCTCTCCCCGTAGTGCTTTCTCACAGTTCATTCTCTCTCTCTCTTTTTCTATCTCAGTTCTCTCCCTCTCCCCGAGCTGCACCACACACACACACACGAACGCTTTCTCTCTCGCAACCCACCATCACTCCCTTCCCCATGCGAGTTCCACAAGCTTGGAACGAAATGACAACCGTAGCATGTGCACCGTAGCTACTCCACCGTGCAGTTCGTTTTCCGGCGAGCCCTTATTGTAGGTGAGTCCCCATAGCCTTTTATTTGGTTCTCAAGGATAGTTTAAGGCTTAGTTGTTGTTAAAAAAATGGTTTTGGGTGAAGGTTTAAACGTGAAAACTGCTCGGGGAGCATCCTCCATATTTTTTCCTGCGAATATCCGGTGGCTTCGAGCCATTTTTCTGGCCAAATCCCACCACGTTTGTGGAAACCAAAGGTACGGTTTGATTCCTTATTTTCTGGGATTCATTTTGGTATATGAAATGACATGTTTTGGTCGAGATTTGAGCTGCGTCGGAGCTCGGGAGTTACCCCGGCCCGAATCCGGCTTTCTCCTTCATTGGGTCCGGCGACCCATGAGTTGAGTTGGGCCAGCCCAACCCACTTAACCCCAAGCCCAAGTCCTTTTGAGTCTAGGCCTTTGGGCCATTTAGAACTCAGGCTTTAGGCCCGTGACCCCCAAAGCCCGAACCCCTTTTATTTCTTTATTTATTTTATTTGTTTTCTGGAACCCAAAGGCCCTTGGGCCTTGTAGCCCAAATAACCCAAAACCCAAACCCTTTTAACCTAGTACCTTCGGCCCACTAAACCCTTAACATAATCCCCTAGCCTATTAACCCAAAACCCTTAAGACCCAAGTCCAATCCGGTGGAATATTCTTGTGTTGATATTTCGAAATTTATCCAGGACCCTTCTTAAAGTAATTTGACGTCCTAAATCCGTTTTTGATGTCTGTTTTTCCAAATTCAAGCGTCAAAATATAGTTTCATGAATGGTAACATTTATGTGTTTAGGTGTATATATTGTGGCGATTCCGTCTTCTTTAGTTTGTGTGGCTCTTCGACGGCGAAGTATCCGTAGGTGGATCCCTTCAAAAATATATGTTTTAATAGTAAAAATGCATGCATGAAAAACATGATTTAATGATTACGTTTTATGAGTAAATTGGATTTACACTTACGATATATTATGTTTACTTAGAATATTTTAGAATACAATATTTTTTATCGAACCCATGTTTTTCGTAAGATATGTGATGGATGACGATATACTATTTAGAACATGTTTTTACACACTTCTTTATAGTATAGATGATAGATGACTTTATACTATGAAGATGTTTTTGAGATATATATACCTATGTTTGGAAAGACTATATTCAATAGTTTGTGTGCATCTAGTGGTCATTGTTTTACCTCCGGGCAATGATATTATATTGGCCTTCAAGGCAGGTGATGTAAGGGCCTTCAGGTTGATTGAAGATATTATATTGGCTTTCAGGGTCGAGTGATGCAGGGGCCTTCGAGTTGATTGAAGATTATTATATTGGCCTTCGGGTTAGGTAATGTAGGGGCCTTCAGGTCGATTGAAGATAATATATTGGCCTTCGAGTTGGGTAATGCATGGACTTCTGGGTCGATTGAAGATTATTATATCGGCCTTTAGGTCAGGTGATGTAGGGGCCTTCGGGTCGATTGAAGATTTATATATTAGGCCTTTGGTCGGGTGATGTAGGGGCCTTCAGGTCGATTATGATACCACTAGTTAGCACATTTTATACGAGTTACGTTTTGAAAGGTTTTATGGCATGCTAGGGTTTTCGGAATCTTATACTATTGAATTTCCATAAAACTTTGGGAGTTAGTATGTTGATAACTATTTTTATTATAAATATCAACTTGGTAAACTAATGTTTGTTTTGCGTTCCTTCAGGACTTAGAATCGAGGCGTATAATCCTGACTTCAAGGGACTTCCTCATTGGCATATTCGAGTCCTCTCAGTGTAGGACCCATTATTTTATTCATTTAATTTTATATTATTACTTTTAGTGTTCTAGTTAGTTGTATGTTCTGAATATGTTCCTCATTTGCATATTAATTATATTAAAATTCTTTTATCTTATTCATATTTTAGTTCTCATGTTTTCAATAAATGATTTTCGTCATCCTCGGGTGTCGGGCAGCACATGCTTACCTTTGTGTTCGGGGAATATCGGGGCCGGTCGTGTCAGCTCACGAGAGATTTTTTAGTGTGATCGGCGCACGAGGTGATACATCACGTGTCACTAAACAAATGGTGGGGTATATGTGTTAAAAAGTTAATAACTTAAAAAATAAAATTTCTCACCACTTACATAAAAATACATGATGTACCATTTGCGTTCCCGTCACAATAAAAAAATTTCTTGTTGGCTCACAACATTTTATTACAATGGGTGAAGAAACATCATTGTATTCCTCACTAGTCATTTTACAAGAGCAATTTTTTAGAGTGCTGGAATACGGTCTGGTACACTTTCACAATACAAATTGTTGGATACATAAAAAACATATTTCAACCATTTATATTACAATAAATTGGTGTACGGCCGTGTTTCTGGTATGCTGACAATTCTCTTTTTATATCAGCAATACTTTCATAGTATTGTTAATTTAATATTTTATCATAGCATCTCCAAGTTGCTCAAATACTTTTCAAAGTTATGATTCGAATAACAAGGCTGGATGCCAGAAAATGTGATCAAAGAAAGGGACCCAAAAGTACCAACCCCAATAGAGTATACGCAGGTGGGCGGGCATAATGGACTACCAAACTACTGAAATTAGGAAGTTGACAAAGTTGACCATCACTACCAGTCTACCAGAGAAAATAAACTTGATTAAAAAAAGGCTTAACGATGATTGATTACATTTAAACACCACATAATTATCGTCATTAAGGTTTCGGACGACAAGTAGATAACACCATACTTGCTCAGAATTCAGTACTGAATTGTCATCATTCTTTGTTTTAATGAACATTGAGCGCTAAGTTATTTGGATACAAATGGTTCTTGACGCTCAAAGTTTTTGTATTTTCTTCACTTTGCTTCTTCTGTCACTGATTTCTTGCGCCAAAGAAATTTACGACATAACTCCGTCGCGACCATTAGCGCAGGGACAAACTCTTGTCTCGGCAGGCAACGTTTTCGAGTTGGGATTCTTCAATAATTCCGCTAATAAGTACGTGGGGATATGGCACAAAGATATACTTCCTCGAAAAGTTGTGTGGGTTGCCAACAGAGAGAAGCCTATTGCAGCTACAGACACCTCGGCTGGTTTGACAATCAGCAGCAATGGGAGTTTGGAGATTGTCGATGGCAAACAGAATTCTGTTTGGTCAACCAATTTTTCGGCAACAGCATCGAGTTTGAATAATAGTTCAGCAGCAGTTGCAGTTCTTTTAGACAATGGAAACTTTGTTGTCAAATTTAATGTAGGAGTTGCAGCAGATCAGTACTTGTGGGAGAGCTTTGATTATCCTAGCGACACGCTTCAACCGCAAATGCTTATGGGATTCGATAGTGTATCTGGAACGAGGAATTCGTTGACTTCTTGGAAAAGTGAGAATGATCCGTCAACTGGGATGTTCTTGGTTGGACTGTCACATGAGGAGCCATCACAGTTGGTAGTTTGGATCAATGGGTCGACTCCCTACTGGAGAAGCGGGCCATGGGATAAATCAAAGTTCATCGGCGTACCAGAAATGGATGATCAGTATCGAAGCGGATTTAATCTCGAGGATAATACGCAGCAGGGAAAAAAGTACTTCTCTTTTGATTTGTTTGTTAAAACTGTTGCAGCATTTATGGACATCTCTTCGGAAGGTGTATTAAGGCTCATCTATTCAAAACACGGTGAGAACTGGAATACATTCTGGGAAGCACCAGCAGCAAAGAATCCATGTGACAATTATGGAGCATGTGGACCTTTCGGGATTTGCAAAGCTTCTGGATCTCCAATCTGCAAGTGTTTGAAAGGATTTGTACCGAAGTCACGTGAGGAATGGAGCAGAGGAAACAGGGGAGGAGGGTGTGTGAGGCAAATCAAACTGTTTTGTGAGAGTAACACAGGTCAGTCAGTTGCTTGGAGAGGAAATGGAGACGGTTTTACGAAGATGTCAAGTGTAAAACTACCAGATTTTCATGAATTTATTTCGTCTTTGGATGCAGAAGAGTGCAAGATACAGTGCCTAAATAATTGTTCTTGCCTGGCTTATGCATATGTTAACAACATCGGGTGTTTGGTCTGGCCCAAAGACCTAATTGATATTCAGGAGTTTTCGTCTGGTGGAGAAGATCTTTTTATTCGCCTCCGACACACAAAATCTGGTAAGTCATAATATTGCTTACACAACTTAATTATGAATTATCTTCAGCTTCTGTCTCATGCTTTTTGTACTACAAAATTCATTTATTTCAGGTGAAGGAAAGCGAACATGGTTAATTGCCAGCCTCTCGGCTATATGTTTTATCGGTGTCTTGGTTGCCATGGTGTTCGTTTTTTGCAGATTGCAAGCTAACCGAAGGGGTAAGAGAGAGATAAAGATATAGAGCAATAGCAGTTAAGCATATTTACTAGTTGCTGGCCAATATTAGCTCTTAGTCTCTGAATATTTGTTTATTTGCTTGTTATAGTTACCAAATCAGGAAACATCGAAGTAACAAGAAAGTACGTTGAACTGACTGATCCGAAGGAGAATTCAAGTGACAGCACTCTTCAAGAATATATACGAGAACATGAGCGGTCGGATCTATTCATCTATAGGTTTGACAGCATATCAATTGCTACGAACAATTTCAGCATCACAAACAAACTCGGGGAAGGAGGATTTGGCCCTGTTTACAAGGTGAGTGTGTATTCATTCTCTTTCTTCTAAAGAAAATTACGGCATTAGCCGCGCAATACAGACATGAATTGAACGATTAATTTGTGGACTCGTTGCAGGGTAAGCTAAAAGAAGGGAAGGAAATAGCAGTAAAGAGACTATCAAGTAACTCAGGGCAAGGCGTAGAAGAGTTCAAGAATGAGATGCTGTTGATCTCCAAACTTCAACATAAAAATCTTGTTAGGATCATGGGATGCTGTGTGAAAGATGATGAGAAGTTACTAGTTTACGAGTTCATGCCAAACGGAAGCTTGGATACTATTCTATTCAGTTAGTTTCACTTGTACTTTATTCATGGCTCCAATTTCTCTTTGTTACTAGTCTTGTTCTTTCGTTAACTGAATTTTGCGTAATGATGTTTGAGTGACATTACAGCTTACATTTTGAATGGGTGCATTGATTAGATCCAAAGCGCCGAGCAGAGCTTGATTGGGCCCGCCGCTTCGACGTTATTCAGGGTGTTGCTAGAGGGCTTCTTTATCTCCACCACGATTCGCGTTTGAAGGTAATACATAGAGATTTGAAGGTCAGTAACATTCTCTTGGATGAAAATATGAACCCGAAAATATCAGATTTTGGATTGGCACGTATCGTTCAAGGGACACAGAATCTAGAGAATACTCAGAAGGTTGTGGGAACACTGTAAGCACCATTCTTTTCCATTTCTCCGAATTGTTCTCACAAGACTCACATTAGCATATTATCATTCTATAGAATCTATACACAGGCTAAATTTTTGTCCGTTAAATACTAATGAGTTGCATGTGTAGTGGCTATATGGCTCCGGAGTATGCCATGGGTGGTATACTTTCTGAAAAATCCGATGTCTATAGCTTTGGCGTCTTGCTGTTGGAGATTGTTAGCGGGACAAAGAATACCAGCTTTTATTACCATGAAAAACAGCTCGGCTTCCTAGCATATGTAAGTTCACATCCTAAAAATACTAATGTGAAATTCTATTTCTCATAGCCTAAACAATCTCTACAATTTTTCAGTCATGGCACTTATGGAACGAAGGCAGGGGATTGGACTTAGTAGATGAAGTCTTGGCGGATTCATATCCATCATCCCAAGCTATGAGATGCGTGCATATTGGGCTTCTTTGTGTACAGGACAATGCTACAGACAGGCCAACCATGCCGGATGTAGTTTTGATGCTAAGTAGCGAGACAGATCGTCCACAACCTCAGCGACCAATATTTACTTTCCAAAAGGCTCTATCGAATCCTCAATCTCAGAAAGACAGTATATACTCCGCAAATGTTGATACCATAACAACCATTGAAGGACGGTAATCTTCGCTGTACATGAAGGATTTTGTTGTTCTGAAGTGTTCCTACACCCATTGAAGTTTTTCCCAAAAAGTAGAGATTAGATTTTACCTAATATTCTTTGTTTACATTGTTACTGTTATTGTGAAAGATCATTATTCTCCCTATCAGAGATTGAAACAAATCCATGTAACATTCAAAGCAGCCCTCCCTTGTCTGCAACATTTCCTTACTTTTCATGGTAGTTTAACACACGAATGAAAAGCTACCAAATCAAGGATCGAACGGTCCGTATGAAAACGAAGACATGATTATTCATCCGTTCAGTATTCATTGAAGTGTTCATCTAGCTTTTAAGCTACAATGTACATGTATACTCTTTAAGGCATAGCTAGCAAACGTGAATACTGAGTTATAGTCACAGGTTTCATGCAAAAAGCAATCCCAGTAATTTCACAAGATAAGTCAGCTCGTCTATGTTCCCATAGAGTGTCTGCGAGCATCATCGTCCTTCCTTAAAACCGTTTTCATACATTGTAAAGTTGCAGCGTGACTTTTTCTTCATGAGGAAAATATGAAAAACACATTTGGATACAGAAAATTATGATTTTTGAATTTCGAACTCTATAAGAATACAAGGGACATGTTGTGTTGGTCATTTCCAAAGGGAGCTTCTAATCAAAGCCGTTCGGCCAAACGAACCGAATTGTTGACCAAATTTCGTTAGAGACCTAGCTACCGGATTTGTTCATTATTCTGTAGGAAGGAAATGAAATTTCTCGATATTTTTGGCACCGTGCTACCGAGTCCGAATGGCGCTCGTGAACTTATCTAGAATACATTATACGATTACATTTCACAGTATACTGTACAGATCATCTAGGAATTATAGTCAAGCAAGAGGCTGAATCATTATCGAGCTTCAACTCTAGTTATTGTGAAATCTTCAACAGAATATAATCCTTTCGGAATTGATGGATCAGCAACACTGCATGAACTTTTTCTGAAGACAAATGCAGGCTGCTGAGGAGATGGTAGAGATGCTTCGCCACTCAACATGAATACAACTGCTGACATAGTCGGTCGGTCCTTTGAATCTTCTTGAACGCACAAGAGCCCGACTTGAATGCATCGCATGACTTCATCTGATTGATACGACTCCAATGACGAATCCACGATTTCTAAGGCTCTGTCTTCTCTCCACAGCTGCCAAACCTGCGGTTGAAAGTAACATTTTGAGAAAGGGATGAATGTAAGTAGTAATTAGTAGTAAGGGTGGACTGTTATCGGATTTTGTGTAACTTACATGTCCTATCAAGTTCACGGAATGATCCTCCTGATACGAACCATTGTTTTTACTTCCGCTTACAATCTCCAATAAGATGATCCCAAAACTAAATACATCCGATTTCGTTGAATACCTCCCAAACACTGCATATTCTGGTGACATATATCCACTACATATGAACAGATACTACCGTATTACAGACAACTCTGTTGAATATAAAGACGACATTATGGTGTGATTTATTTCATGAATGCGTGAATGTGGTATGATTCTTACTATGTTCCGACAATTCTGCTGGTCTTATCCTGCAGTTGGTCCCCATGGAATATCCTTGCCATGCCGAAATCTGAGATTTTCGGGTTCAACTCAGCATCTAGAAGAACATTACTGGTTTTTAGATCCCTGTGGATAATCCTAAGTCTTGAGTCCTGATGGAGATACAGAATCCCACGAGCAACCCCGTTGACTATTTCAAAACGTATTTTCCAATCCAACAAGGACCTTCTTGTATGGTCTACAAAATGATATGGTTTCTATGTAAATGTCATATTTTTCTTTGATATAAGCTTAACACACACACATCATATATTGTACATAGTTTTAAAAACATTATGAACAAATGAATCTTTCTTCTAGACATACCAAAAAGAAAGTAGTCCAAGCTCTTGTTCGGCAAGTGTTCCAGGATCAACATCCTTTCTTCTCCCCTTATACAACAGCCTAAAAGTTTCACGAGGTTCCTGTGTTGAAGTCTTGCTATCAGCGCAACTTCATTTTTGAATTCTTCAACCCCTTGTCCTGAAGTTCTGGACAATCTTTTTACAGCAATAATCCGATCATCATTTGGTAACTGGCCCTGAAGTTTTTATTGAGTATTATCATTAAGCTTTAACGTAATTGCCACTTTTAACGATATATTTACTTGTGATAAGCTAAAGAAGAATAGTAAAGAAACAAAGTACTCTCTAATGCTGAGAAGAAATCATTCAATTATAAGATATCGATGGCTTCTAAATTTGGACTAACCTTATAAACCGTACCAAAACCACCTTGGCCAAGTTTATTGAGGGAAGAGAAATTGTCCGTAGCTGCTATTATTGTGCTCAGATTGAAAAATTGCAATTCAGGGTGTCTTCTGGTTTCTTCAAGTTCATCTGCAATTAATAAAAGAAAAACATTGTCCATGTCATTTCTCCTCACTGCTCCATTTGCTTTGAAAAAAATGACATCGGAAGTAGAGAGCTTTGATGTGATTTACAAACTGCAGAAGTGTTATGACCAACGCCATACTTCAACGAGTAGAATGCTTTCTGTTTAGTTGACACAGTTAAAGAATTCATAATCGCTGACTACATACCTTTCGTCTTCCTCTTTTTCTTGAGCCACCAACAGGACAACGCAAGGATTAGTATCAATGCCAGAAGAACAGACAACATCAGAATAGCCAGCATACCCCTCCTTTTAAGAAAAACTTTTGAGTTTCTGGAATTTTCAGCTACACATAAGAGTGGGACAAAGGATTAGAAAACATCAAAACCAGTAGTGCAGTAAGTATCACAAATTCTGAAAATCTAAAACTCAATTTTCCATGGCAAGAAGTGGTACCTAATTCGATTTTGTCCACACGAACATGTAGATCTCGCCCTACCTGTGTGTGCACTAAAATGTCCAGCAACTCACCATACCATGTCAAGCAATCAATGCGCCCTTCAGCTTCTATGGTCATATATGCAGTGCAAGAACAATTTCTTAAGCACACCTGCTTGCACTCTTTGTCACTTGTACTGTTTTCCAACCGTGCTGCTTTCATTGTGTCAGGATCTTTAACTCGTGCCACTTTCGTGAACCCCTCTCCGTTCCCACACTTTGACACCGCAACTCGTTTACTGACACAACCACCTGACCCATCTCTCCTATTCCACTCATTGACAGACTTTGGTTCATACCCTGGCAGGCACGCACACTCGAATAAATTGATATTGTCAGGGCTACATTTGCTGTTGGCACCACACTGTCCATACTGGTCACACCTATATTTTGGCGCAGACCAGATTTCGTTCCATTTGCTATCTGCATTGTTCCATCTCAGGTGTTGCAGTAACCCAGAATCATTCAAGACCACCCTTATTGGAGTGCTGTCGCTTGGAATTAAGTAATACATTTCGTCCTGATTACTGACAAAACTAGGGTCTTCCAGTGGATCGCTTCTCCAATATGGAGTCAAACCTTTATAAGTAACAAAATATTGGGGTTTGAAACGCTGATTGGAACGGAGCCTAACAGTGTAGTCCCCAGTTCCAGGGTCATCTTGTGACTTCCAAGATGTTAAGACCCATTGTATCCCCGTTTTCCAATTGAAGCCAAGTTTCATACCTGGAAGGAGAGTATCTGTAGGATGATCAAAACTCTGCCACATAAAACTTTCACTTTTGTTATCTTGGAAAAGAACTAGATTTCCAGAATCTACAGCTGAGCCCTGCAACTAGTGATTGCGGTTTGGACCGTCACATTTGTAGACCATATAGGAATATCCTGCATATTGTAAGCATAAAGAAGCAGTCTTCCATACCTGTCTATAGTAAGGACTCCAGAGGTATCATTGATGGGGTTGTTTCTGTTTGCAACCCAAACCACTGCTTTTTGATCTTTTTGAGCATACCAAATTCCGACATATCTGTACCTGGAGTTCCCGGGGCTGAAGAACCCTAGTTCGAAGATATTATCTTTAGACACCAGCAAGTCACCGTCCTTGACATGTTGGTCCGTTGCTATGGTGTCAACAGACGTGCAAATTGGGAAGAGGAGGAAGAACACTAGAAGCAAAGCTTTCATTAACATTTTTCTGGGCATTTCCATTCATCAACCAGTGCCCTTTCACTTATTTTTCTGAGTTGTGGCCATAAATTGACACTTTTGGTTTGACAAGTTGCCGGCTTCTTTGAATTTTGGCAATTTTGGTCGGGTCGTATGAGCTACTCAACAACGACGTATCTAAAGATTGAATTGACTTACAGTTGCCTATTTTTGCTTCCACCATGACTACTGATCATATTCAAAACTTGTCAACTGCCAAAGATATTATGGAACTTTGACAACTGTTCAAGCAAGGACCTGCATCATTATCGATCTTCCAATTCAGTTATTGTCAAAGTCGTTACTAGAATCAGACTTGTACACGTCTTGTATTCATTTTCACTAGGATTTTGTGTTAGTTACAAGACCGAATTTCTTCCTCGACTACTAAAATGGACGAATCTCTAGTTAATCGGCGTTAGATCAATTTCAGCCATTTGAGATTAATAAACCTTGGATATAGGTGATAATTGTAGGCTGCAAGACTCGTAACTCAAGTGGTTAAGAGCATTTATTTATACATAAATCTCTGTTTCATTACCTTTCATTTTGCACACCCCTACTTAAAATTTTTCATGAACTCTTGTTTGCTATATTCAATTCAAACACCAAAATAAACCAAACATGGTTCATAAAATAAAAAAAAATAAAAAAAAAAGAATTAGAGATTGAGACTTTTCTTAAGGAATTTTCATTTTCCTTTTCGAAAAATCTGAATATGAGGTCTTGATTTATTGGGCCGAATCTTGAGCAGCTGACGGCAATGTTAACTATGGGCCGACTTTTAGAAAGTATTTGGGCTGCAGGCCTCCATTTAAACAAAAAAAAAAAAAAATCCACAATGAAAGGGAAAATGTATAACACTACTGTTTAATGGTAATCATTTTCACCTAAAAGTGAGAGATTTGAAGTTCGATTCTCATCAAAGTCGAATTTGAACCACATTATTGATAGTCCATGGTGAGGCTTAGCCCACTCCCCCACTCACTTGGTGTAGCTAATATCGTTTGTTTAAAAAAAAATTTGTTGTACAGTAATTTGCATTTCTCACATGAACTATACCATTGTGGTCATTTCGTTTTGGTTCTAATTTTAGCCATCAGTTCAGTTGTATCCATCGAGTTTTCCTTTTAGTTTTGCTTATGTAACATGTGCTGGTGTAAGTCACACCACACCAGAGAGTAAGTCCTGTAATTTATAGATGTGAGATGCGTGACAGCTCCCAACCATACATGTTCTGTATAATTTGCTTGTGCCAAAATGGCAGCAAGAATTAATGCGGGTTAAAGAGATCACAAGGGCTCATAATCATACTACAAATCAAGTGCACACGAGCTTCGAATTTAGTTATCGTCAAGTCATTTATAGAACAGGATTCCTTTTTTTTTTTTTTTTTTTTTTTTAAACAAACGATATTATCTACACTAAGAGAAGGGGTGAACTTAGCCTCACAATGAGCTAGCAATAATGTGGTTCAAATTCACCTTTGGCGAGATTCGAACCAAATATCTCTCACTTACAAGTGAAGAGGAATACCACTAGACAGTAGTGTTAAGCGGCAGAACATGATTCTTTTGAAACTGATGGATCCGCATCGCTGCATGAATTTTTTCACGAGACAAATGCAGGCTGCTGAGGAGATGGTGGAGATGCTTCGCGGCTCAACATGAAACAACGGCTGACATGGTTGGTCGATCCTTGGATCTTGTTGAATTGGTATTTATTTGGATGTGGTATTTTTGTTCAACTGGTATTTGACCGACTCAGTGACAGTAATTCAGTTGCCTATTTTTACTTTCACCTTGATTACTGATTGCGAAGTGATTTTCACCACCCTCGTTTTATAGAACAAAGAATAAAAGTAAAGGGAGGCATCGGAAGGAGAAACTGGGAGTGTGAAAATGACTACCCTTACTGATTAAGTTGAATTCAAACTTCTCGACTGCCAATATGGACCTCGTTATTCGTCAGGTAACTGTGCATTGATCTTAACTAAACATGGAATTAAGTAATCTTAACTCTATGTCTTTGGTGTGAAATTATTGGATTGAAGTTAAAAGGCTAGAAAATGAGTTCTTGGTTAATACAAGTAATAAGGAAGGGAAACGAAATGATCAAACAATTTTGGTAATTACAGAATCAAGAGCCTACGTCATTAACAATTAACGAGCTTCAAATGCAGTTATTGTCAAGCCGTTCATAGAATCTGACCCTTTCGGAATTAATGGATCAGCATCATCACAAGAACTTTTTCTGAAGACAAATGCAGGCTGATTAGGAGATGGTGGAGATGTTTCGCCACTCAACATGAAAACAACGGCTGACATTGATGGTCGGTCCTTCGAATCTTCTTCCACGCACAAGAGCCCAACTTGAATGCATCGCATTACTTCATCCGACTGAAATGACTCTAGTGATGAATCCACAATTTCTAAGGCTCTGCCTTCTCTCCACAGCTGCCAAACCTGTAGTAACAGTATCATTTTAAACAGGGGAAGTAAAAAAGGGTAGATTTTTAGCAGAATTTATGTTACTTACATGTCCTATCAAGTTTACGGAATGATCATCTTGATAAACACCGTTGTTTTTCTTGCCGCTTATAATCTCCAATAATATGATCCCAAAACTGAAAACATCCGATTTGGTTGAAAATCTCCCAAACACTACATACTCAGGTGACATATACCCACTGCATACGAATAGAACAATATGTTACAGTCGAAGAATAGTAAAATGAGAAGGAAAGCTAATGAAAGGTGACTTTATTGTGATTTATTCCATCAATGTGTGAGAGCTAGTATGTTTCTTACTATGTTCCAACAACTCTGTTGGTTTTGTCCTGCAGTTGGTCTCCATGGAAGTTTCTTGCCATACCGAAATCTGAAATTTTTGGGTTCATCTTAGAATCTAGAAGAATGTTGCTGGTTTTTAGATCCCTATGGATAATTCTAAGTCTTGAGTCCTGATGAAGATACAAAATTCCACGAGCAACCCCGTTGATGATTTCAAAGCGTTTTTTTCCAATCCAACAAGGACCTTTTTCTGTGATCTGCATTGATCGGTATCTGTGTAATTATATATAGTACGTTTTAGCATGAAACTTGCAAATATATACTCCATAGTTTGAGTTAGACATACCAAAAAGAAAGGAGTCCAAGCTTTTGTTCGGCAAGTGTTCGAGGACTAACATCCTTTCTTCTCCCCTTATACAACAGCCTAAAAGTTTCACGAGATTCCGGTGCTGAAGTCTAGCTATCAGCGCAATTTCATTTTTGAATTCTTCAACCCCTTGTCCTGACGTTCTTGACAATCTTTTTACAGCAATAATCTGTTCATTTGGTAACTGACCCTAAAGTAAAGAATCAGTTTTACTATTAGCCTTTCACATGATAAAAGAAAAGACAGTCAGAGACTGAAACAAAACTGCTTAGAAGAAATCATTCCATCATAAAAAGATTAGGAATTCTGAATTCGGACTTACCTTATAAACAGTCCCAAAACCACCTCGGCCAAGTTCACTGATGGGCGAAAAGTTGTCTGTGGCTGCTATTATAGTACTCAGATCGAAAAGTTGCAACTCAGGGTGTCTCCTAGTTGCTTCATATTCATCTGCCTCCACGAAGTCTGTGCTATCACAAAAACCAATAGACATTCAGTTAGATGAAATCAAATTGCTTTTATTTACCTTCAACAATTCAGAACGGATTAGCACTTCTCATACCTTCTGTCTTCCTCTTTTTCTTAAGCTTCCAGCAGGCAAACACAATGATTAGTACAAATGCCAGAAGAACAAAAACTATTGGAATAGCAAGCAAACCCCTCCATCTCAGAAAACCTTTCGATTTTCTAGTATTCTGATCTACAAATAAGAGTGACATAAAGGATTAAAAAATCATGAAAGGAGAACATATTTAGACACCAAAACCAGACAAGAAAATTGAGTACCTAATTCGACTTTGTCTACGCGAACATATAAATCTCGTCCCAACTCTGTCTGCACTAAGATGTCCATCAAATCACCATACCAAAACAAGCAATCACTCCGCCCTTCCCATTCTGCTCTCAGATACGCTGTGCAGGAACAATTGCTCAAGCACACTTGCTCACACTCATTTGCACTGATATTTGTTAACAACTGTGCTGCTCTCGATGTGTCTGGATCTTTAACACGCACCACCTTCACAAACTCATCTCCATTCCCACACTTTGACACCCCAATTCGCTTACTCACGCACCCATCCGACCCATCTCTCCGGTTCCAATCATTCACAGATTTTGGTTCATACCCTGGAAGACACTCACACTCAAACAAAATATTTTCAGGGCTACATCTGCTGTTAGCACCACACTGTCCATAATTGCCACACCGATATTTTGGCACCTCCCAGAGTTCCTCCCATTCATCATCACCATCATTCCATCTCAGTTGTTGATATGAACCATAGTCCCTCAAGACAGTTCTGATTACAGATGTGTGATCATTTACAAGGAAATAATACTTCTCTTCGCTATTGCTCACATAATTAAGCCATGGCCCGGGATTAGATCTCCAATACTTAGCTAAACCCTTGTACACAAAATAATGTGGAATGGCAGTCTGATTCGAAAAAAGCCGAAAACTATAGTCCCCGGTTGAAGGGTCATCTTCTGATTTCCAAGATGTTAAGATCCATTCCAACCCTTTTTTCCAATTCAACCCAACTTTCATTCCAGGAAGTAAAGTGTCAGTTGGATAATCAAAACTCTGCCATATAAAGCTGTCACTTCTATTGTCCTGGAAAAGTACCAAGTTTCCTGAATCCAAAAGCTGAGCCACAGAAGTGCTTCTGGTTTGAACCGACACGTAAGCAGACCAAATAGAAATATTCTCAAGAGCATAGAGAACTAAATTTCCATGCCTGTCAATTGTGAGCACACCAGAGGTATCATTGATGGGGTTGTTTCTGTTTGCAACCCAAACCACTACCTCTGTCCCTTTTCATATTTTTGAGCAAACCAAATTCCGAAGTAGCGGGAGCTGGAGTTGCCGGGGGCTGAAGAATCCCAGTTCAAAGTTGCCTTCTTTCGACACTATGAAGTCACCATCTTTGACCTGTTGGTTGAATGCTATGGTGTCTATGGTTGTGCAGAATGGGAAGAGGACGATGAGGAGAAGGAAGACAACA